TTCATCATCGATATACAATGTTTTTTCTTTATGTACCTGCAAACAGATTTAATATAAGAATGGTTAAATAAGAATACATTTAAATAATTAAAATTTACTTCTTTTGGTGTTATTTCAATGTCTTTTGCTTCTAATATCTGCTTATACAATAATTTGTTGTCATTCTCTTGCTTCCATCCTTCAAGCACAAAAAAGAAGTACCCACTATCTTTTGGACCTATGTTACAAATATAGCTTTCATTCTTATAAAAACAACATATTGTATCTTTTCAATTACCTATTTTTAATTTCAAAGATGACTGTTGTGACAAATCTTCCGATTTCTCTATGTTGGAACTTTCTATATGTAGTTCGTTCGTTGATATAGGTAATTCATAAGAAATACCACATTGTTCATTTACTATTTTACTATAATCAATCATTGGTATGCTTGGTCTTTTCGGAAGGAATGCATGCCACCACCTCTTATTTGTGCTGATAATATCAGAACGATGGCAACGAGAACAGCCATCACAAGGATTGGTATATTTTATTACTGCGTCACAGTTCCAATTTAACTTCTCTTTATATCCATTCAGTATATAAGTTGCGTATCTGTCATAAGAATAACGTAAATGAAAAACTTTAAAATTATCAATGGTCTAAAAATATCTGTACTTACTTTCGTAAGGGTCCCCAATACCAATATTTTTTAGCAATAGTGTGTGCATCTTTCCATGCACCCCATTCAATTGTGCCCATAGCATAAATTGGTTTCACTGGTTCTTCAGAATTTTCCTTAAATCAAGTATGTTCCATGTATTTCAATATATTATATATACAATTTATATTAAATGTTCTACAAGTATTAAACATACTTCAATGGGTTCAACTTCAATCATATCCATCAATTTGGAGTTCTCACTTATAATTGCCATTGTAGCTTCTATTAACTGTCTTACATCGGATAAATTATCATACTTATGATACATAGACTTTGCTACTCTATTTACTTGTCCTAAAGGTAAAATACCAATAGGACATTGTTTGACTGAATTGATATCAGAATTACATTTCCTAACTAATCCTGTTAAAACATCAGACAAGGTGCCATCTCCTCCTGCTACTATGATGGCATCAGTTGGTGTATCCAAGTTCATTATAATTTTCCTAGCTTCATTTTCTGACTTGGTTTGTATTACTGTTACAGCTATTCCTGCTAAGTGCAATAATGGTTCACAGTAGTTTGTAAATAACTTTTTAGCTTTCCTATAAATAAAAGCAGTTGTTAATAATCAAATGATCAATGAATATTTTATCGGTGTATGAAACACAAACCCTTTCTTGGCATTTGGATTTAAAATGACTGTTACATGTCGATGTTTTGTCTGTGTTTGACATGGAGCATCACCATACTGTGATGCAGTTTCACAGTATTGCCTCATTAATTGTTCTGTCCTAAAACAAATAGAATAGTTCTAATAATATCGACAAAAGTAAAATCATCATTATATCAATTAAAAGCATGGCAAAAATTATTTTGTAACAGAAGACTGTATCTCACTCGAACGCATCTTTACTGTACGAAACACCATAAGACAAAGCTGCAGCTCCAACGACAGATTTCTTCCAATTATTTCTTATGCTTTGAAAAAACTTGAATATCTTTGCCATTTTTTGGAGCTTCTATTTCCACATCAGTTTGTATTTTTATAATTCAATAAGAAACTTTCCTATCTAAATCATCATGTCTGGGTTAGATTAAATTTATGTCTTCTTCTGTAAAATTCTTCTTATATAAAATACGATTCAATTGTTTAATTTGCTTTACGAATTATTAAAATAACGTTACATTAAAAAAATATTGTATCAACATATTTTTTCAGGTCAAAATCACCGTGGTCAAAATACGTCGATAATTGTTCATTCTAAGATACCACAATATGTACCACGTGCTTTTGACGATTTAGTATGCGTGTGGTGTTTGTGTTACAGCATTTTAAATACCATGAAAAGACTACACAGGTTTACTAAACAGGATTTCACAGTTTATATAGCAAACTGTATAAGCAGTAAATAACAAACTATTTAAATATAAAAGAGTACATAAAAAATGAAATAATATTTAAATGTACCAATCAGAAATTATGAACAGTCTAGGTCTAGTTCTTTTAGTATAAATAGTAGCGGGTGCAACATTCTGTATTCGAGACATTCGAGATTATTCGAGACGTAGCTTTTTCGTCTATTACGTATGTATTTTTAAATTGCAGAAATAGCATCATTATCAACCGTTTCAAATCATTTCGTTGATCATTGAACTTTGTTTCATCATTGACGAACAAATAGTTAATAGCAACAATATTCATAAGTACCAGCCATTTGGTTAGATAAATATTACATATTTTTAAACGAATACATACATGCGTAGATACTAGATTTATATAACATGTAAGTGTGTGAATATTTTATTCGTATTTTTGAACCTAACATTCGATATAGGAAAGTGACAGGTCAGTTGAATAGGTCTGTATGGTAGTATGTATGCGATGTTTTGATATTGCATTCGCTGATGGTTATGTATATATAAGTACATACATTGTACATTGTAAAATGCAACAAAATTCGTAAGATTTATAGTTGGGTCAAGATTTCGGAAATGTTATAATATCTTTGCTCGACTATGTCCGTGCTACGTAACAATACAAATTAAGTGTAATTTTAGATGCAACGAGCTGCGCAAATCGGATTTACACTATAAATACATGTACTTTATCGAACTTTCCCGTTTACGTTTTTATTATTTGATTTATCTCATATAATTATATACGTGTACAATGCTGCTTATATATTTTACAATTATTCTTTTTTCAAACTGCAATATTTTAAATTATATTGGTTTATTTTTGTAACCCCAATTAATATTAAAAATAAAATGATTTTGTAAAATTTTAAAAGTTTTCGTCTGCGTTCATAGATAATGATACTATACAAAATTGAAAGAATAATAACTCAAATGAAATGAGTGCTGGTTGGAAGGATGATGAAGTTGGTATAAATGAAACAGACGTAACATATAAAACAGTGGAAATGTCAAATGAAACTCAATTTGAAAACAAAACAGTGCAACAAAATGATAGAGGCAGAAAAAGTGTCTCTGAAGGAAATGAGAATAAAGAATTGGCTATTGTCGATTCAGCCATGTTAACGGAACCATCCACTTCACAAGACAGTATTTTGCCTTTTTTCATTGATAATGGATCAACCTCTGGAGAACAAAATGAAACTGAGGGGTGCATTAGCAAAGGTATTATCAAAGTTTCATGTACATTATGTTCTAAATTCATTATAACAGATGCAATTTTACTCTACTTGATGAATAGACAATAGCAATGGAGTCTCAATGGAAAATCTTGAAAATAATTCAGATGAAGATTCTAGTAGACAGAGACTGATTCAAGCTTCATCCAGTTCATCGATGTCTGAAGATGATAGTATGGACAGTACTGCAGAATCTTACTCTATTGGTCAACTAATAGACAATAATAGTGAAATTTCAATGGAATATCTTGGAGACAGTTCAGATGAAGATTCTAGTGGACAGATGGCCGAAGTGTATAGTCCATGCCTTAAATCCAGGCAGGACTATATAAGGTTCTTTGATGCTTATTCCAATATGGAACGTGAGATCCGCTTTGACAATGAAGGTATACTTTTTTGTTAAACATAAACGTATTAATAAGAATACTTTTAAAAATAAAATTCTGGCTTGTTTTAAAACAGCTAGGCCGAAGCACAAGTGGTTCGTGATACCAGAGCTTACTTCTCGCGAACGAGGTTGCAATCCATTATTTCATCGGAACTGTTATGGTTCCTTACATGTTGCGGAACGTCTGGAACTTACGCATAGACTCGATGAACATCAGGTGCTTCTATTTAATGAAAAGAGAAACATGAACTCTATTACAAAAGATTGAATCTACTAATATGAAGTATTCTTACAGGGCTGCGTGAATGGCTTAAATTTTAATCAGGAAGGTAATCTACTGGCCAGTTGTTCTGACGATTTAACTGTGATTATATGGGACTGGGCAGTAGGAAAGAAACGCCACATTTTTGATACGGGTCATACAAGTAATGTTTTTCAGGTATCTGCAAATTTATATTAATTAAATTATAATGTAATGTATTGTAATTGTACTGTACTATATTTCTCATCTTAAATGTTTAGTCCAAGTGGTTACCGTTCAACGTAGAATTTTTAATGACGTGTGCTCGTGACGGTCAAGTACGACTATTAGATATCAATCGTGGTGCATCCCGTAACCTTGCAACTCATAGTGCACCAGCTCATAAACTAGATATTCATCCCGACACGCCACATGTCGTTTTATCTGCCGGCGAAGATGCTAAAGTGCTGTCTATTGATGTTAGGGATAATAAAGCAACGGAGTATGTTACCATTTAAATAATCCTTTTAAGTAGTTAGTCCTCCTTCACAATATATACGAGGTTGTTTGTGCAGATTAACAGTGGTGAGAGATGGTATCTACAATGTAAGATTGCATAGCGTTCAGTCGCATCCTATGAACAGCAACGAATTTTGTGTTGGTGGAGTTGCACCTGAAGTTAGAATTTACGATCGACGAAAAGCATCCACACCGCTGCATAAACTTTGTCCTGCACATCTAGTGTAGTATTTGAATTTTTACACTCTGTAGAACTTTTTTGCTATTCACGTTTAACTAATTCGTTCTATACTTCAGATTGAAAGTTACGAAAACGTGCCCGTGACTTGTGCTGTATATAATTATAACGGAACTGAAATTCTGGCAAGTTATACCAATGAGTTGATATACTTGTTTGATGCTGTCTCACCAAAACTTGGAGATTTTGTGCATAGTTATGATGGCCATACTAATATTATTACTGGTATATTATGTAATATAATTGAGTAGTTACACGCATGTACGCTTAATACTTAAAAATACTTTATTTATGTATTCTATAGTAAAAGGTGTCGCTTTCTTCGGACCAAAAAGTGAATTTGTTATATCTGGATCAGATTGTAGAGATATATTTGTTTGGGATAAGGAAACTGAAGTGATTATCAATTCGATGCGTGGAAACAAACGAGGAGTCGTACGTACCTTCATCAATTTAGTAAAGTTATAACTGAATGATAGATACATATTTAATATTTTTCTAACAGACAAATTGTTTGGAAACTCATCCTCATATTCCCGTTCTTGCTACAAGTGGGATAAGGTATGATGTGAAGATATGGGCCCCATCCAATGACCATCCTACCATTTTCGAACACTTTGATACTGAATTTATGGGGCGAAAAGTATAGAATACGAAGAGCATACTTTTATAAGTTATAGTAGAAGAAGTATCGATTGGCGAATATAACTCGATAACGTCTTGTTTAATACTGAAGATTCATTTATATCATGGAATAGTGTATTCAAAATAGTGATACTCATGGGAATGACGACGATAATAACGTTAGAGATAGTCATCCACATAGAACAAAAAGACTGCAACGTTCTCCATACAAGAGGTATTGAATGAAACGTTTTGCTTTTCGTAAAATTAACATCTGCACGATATTTTGATGAATGATAAAACATTAAAATTATAGTAAAGAAACATAAATTAAACAGTTTCTTGATTTATTCTTTTTTACCAGTTTAGTAACTTATATATGTTGTATACATCACTTCTTCTTCTTCTTATTAATAATACTCTTGTAGTTCTAAGGACTAGCGTACGGACTGTTGTTAAGAACGTGTACAATATTAAGTGGTGATAAGGAACAAGACAGTTACATTTACTAAATTTTTACTCGATATACACGTTCATTTTTGCTCGTTAATTCAAGTAAAAAATTTGAACTATCTTTGAACGAGTTGTTTAGTAATTATTAGTTTTGTAATCCTAGTGTGTACATTTAATTATTGTGAATAAAAATGCATTAAGCGGTTTCACAAAAGTGTTTAAAATTGTCACTAATTCTTTCATATATTAAAATATTTATTTGCCCTGGATAACCAGCTTAAGGTACAGTAATACATTGCTTTTAGATGATTTTTAAGTATAAGTAAAAGTAATTACGTAAAATAACGTTAGTCTGAAATATGGAAATGTAATGTATTGCCTATTAAATGTGTAACATGAAATAAAACATTTTAAAAAGGACAGAAACGTGTTTTAAAAGATACCAATTGCATGAGCAAGAGCAGCATATATATGCAATGTTGTGGTACCTATGATAAAAGTAGTAACAGCTTTAACAATAAGTGTCAACCATGGGCCAGTTAGGAAAAGTGTAGTTAGGAAGTCCAAGATGAGTGATCTATAAATTGTGAGCACAAGCATACCAATGACTACAGGAACCAAACCACGTTTTAGATCGTGCCTTGACCACAACCACACAAGTGTTGCTGTTGTAATATGCTGCACCTATGCAGTAGAAATAAAATATATAAACCAGGATGTTACTGAACATAGAATTTAGCAATTTTAATACTTACTAAATTAATGTTAGATTCAAGACTCTCTTGAATGTATCTCCAATCAAATTCTGCTCCCCTAGCACCAACCCACAATAAGAGGAATCTCGTTAGAAGTACCTCTGCTCCAGCCCATCCAATTCCAGCTGTTAAAACTTTTGCGTGTCCTTTACCAGGAATACTGTTTAGTACCAGAAGGATTCCTACTAAATCAGCTAAGTCTATGGAAGATTTTAAAAACTCCTAAAAAGTAATGTCATTGAGATTCAATAGAATTTAAAAGAAACAGAATAAAAATACGTACGCCTACTAAATCAAAGCCTCCTTCCCCCACAGTATCAGCTGTAGGAAAGAATGTGGCGAATGCCAGCATTTTTACTAGTTGTGTGAAAATGTAAATACCTCCTGCTTGAATGCATTTCCAAAAAGCTCCGTATTCAGACCTGAAAATTTATAGACAAGAATCATCATAATACGTTTTCGTTTAAGAAGCATAGCCGCAATTACAATTAGGTTAGAAAGTTCTTAATCCTACTTACAAGCCAGAATATTTGTAGGTGAGGTAATATGGAACATAAACTAAAGCTAAACAGTTTCCAAAATGATATAGTGTCATTATTTCGATAGTATTATGTTAGCTTAATTGGCATATCATAAATTATGCCAGTGATGTCCACGGGAGAGAAAGACATCAGAGACCCCTCCCGCGCCGGTTTCCCCTTCCAAGCACCCATTTTTCTGACCAGGCAAAAATACAAATTACACATTACTTGGTTGTGAAATAGTAGCGCCTCTTCTGGTGAAATTAAAAATCTCCGTTTAGGGTTTATACAGCGCCAATTAGTAAATGGCAAAATGCTGAAACTGGTAGGCAAAATTACCGACAGTCGATTTTGGATAATAGTTTGAGCGTTTTGCCATTTACTAATTGGCGCTGTATGGACCTTGGACGGAGCTTCAGCTTTTCTCCACAAGAGGCGTCATAATCGCCCACGCGTGCATAATGCACGGTTGCTTACAAACATTAATTATGCCAAAATTAGGCAACAGAAAAGTAAATCAAGGACACAGAACTGTTCAGGAGAATCTGCTGCATCGATATAATGTAAATGAAAAACGTAGCAAATTTAATTAATTAACATAATAGTTAATTAAGCTTTAAAGAGGAATTTTCCTCGTGTCTCATTCATGGAAATACATAATTTTTAAAAAGATTATAAATATCCACAATTATATGAAATTCTGAGATAAACATTAATACACGGGATCATTATGAACATTTTCAGACTAAGAATATTAATTTTCTGCTATATTCAAAATTCACGAGTTATTTAATTTTTCAAATATACCCGCTCACAGGTATAAAGGGCGCGCCTTTCAACTTCAATTAATGTTTGATCAATAATGTTTATCACAAAGCTGCCAGTGTTTTTCTTTAACCCAGTTCATAAAATTTCAGAATTATGGTGAGATTAACTACAGAGTACATCGAGAAAAAATTTTCACAAGCATTATTGAGCAAATCTCTCAGTAAAAAAGTGAAGAAACGGGAATTGTATAATACTACTCACTTGCGTATGAACAATATGTTTATAAGCAACATTGTAAGAAATCTTTGAGACAGAAGAGTAACAATCCTAAATTAAATATTAATTTTAATTAACGCATGATTCTTCTGTTGTAGGGCAATTTTAATGATTATAAGAACCTGAAAGTAATATATTTGCAAAATAATAACATATCAACCATAGAAAACTTACATTTCGCCTCCAATCTGACTCATCTTTATTTGCAACATAATACTATCAGGAAAATTGAAAATTTAGACTCGTTTGACAAGCTTCAAGTACTCTACTTAGGATATAACAATATAGTTGTAGTGGAAGGGCTCGAAGGTTCAAGAAACTTAACTGTATTAGATATAGAAAATCAAAAGCTGAGTCTTGGAGAATCATTGTGCTTTGATCCACGAAGTATTCATACTTTATCTGTAAGTGGTCGATTATAATAATGTTATGCGAAGTTATATATAAAAACCTTTTGTTACATTCTTTTCAGACTTGCCTGCAAGTACTCAACATTTCTGGTAACAAAATGACGTCTCTAAAAGACATCAAGAGTTTACATAAATTAGAGAGTTTAGACGCCAGAAATAATTTATTGGAAGATATCGACGATCTCACCGAGACCATAAGTACCTTAATCTCGTTGAAAGACTTGTCTTTGCAAGGCAATCCTGTAACTCTGTGTTACAGATACAAAGAAAACCTGATCGCAAATAATGATACAATAAGTGTGTTTATTGCTAAGCTGTTTTATTTTAGATCTATGATTTATACTTATAGATATTATATATATTCACAGGAAACTTCAATGGGAAAACGGTTACGGATGTATGCCGATGTTTTATGAAAAGATTCAAGATAGAGAAACATCTCTACCGCAAAAAGATGTCTTCTAGAATTACATTGGATGAAGATATTACAAGTAAATCTTTTAATTAGATTCTTTACACGTTATGGATATAGTTTTGTCACCGCAATTTGTTTCCTAGGTTCATTGAATCTACCACTAGCACTGAAGAAATCAATATCAAGGGCGATGTTCCAGCATCCAGGTCCAAGATTATCTGTTACAATTTCGTCAGCCATTAACGAAATGCAACCACAAACGTTTCCATCGTGGAAAATAGGTATAACGTGAGGAACCAATTAATATATATATATATTTCATATGTTAACTCTAGTGTTTTAATTCATTTAGCGCCAGGTACAAAAACTATACGACACGGCCACATGACACCAAGGCCATTCTGGAGCAACGTAATTAAAACCAAACAGCCTCACGTTGTACGGTCGTTGTCAAAGAGCAAAACTATTAAATTACCACCAATCACACTGTCTCCCACCATCAAATAAATGAACAGTTTTTTGTGTAACATTCAATACATTTGTCATTATTAACTTTCATAACGTTACAACAACAAATTATACATATATGCATGCAAAGAAACAGATTCTTTCGATTATATGTGTCCTTATTTATTAATATTCTTGTTTAGAAAATTACTTATAATCCATTGTATTATTTTCATTCGGGTTTAGTCACTTTATATATATATACTATTAAATAATTGCCACATGAACTATCTCGTCAATGCCTGCATGCTGGAAAGTCTTGTACAAAGCAAACATAAAAATCTACAAAAGAAACTGCGCTGAACAAAAATACGTGGCGAAATATGCAATAAGCTGAAGGCAAACTAATTACAACGACATTTTGTACAACTTTCTAGCACTAAGGCGATACTTGTATAATCGAATGTGCATATAACGTAACAAAATTTTTTTAATACTTGAACTAAAAGTACATTAAAGTTCATGCGGGTGAAAACAACTATTTCATTTAAATATAACGAATACGTGCATAGTACCTAAAACCCAGACCTGGCGCAGGGATCATTATGATATTATAAAACTATAACATTACGTTATCACTGAATAAACAACAGAAATATCAAAGTACAAAATACTATTAACTACATTTGTACACTGCTTGAAGGTTTATGTACATTATATCTTTAAAGATTGGTTTTATATGCCAACTAAAATGCGAAGAGGAATCTATGAAGTTGATGTAAGATGTAGAAAATGTTTGTTCATGTTTAGTGAATTCGATGAATCCATACAATTTCTTCAAGCAGAGCTAGTATAAAATTCTGATAATTTTATGAGAAATTAAATAAATAACTTTGAAATGACGCAGGCATTTACAATACAAACTTGTTAGTCACTATAAGCATGGAATGATAGATTACACGATAAGAAAGAGTACATAAATTATAAAATTACATAGTATAAAAGATACAAGTAGAAAATGAATTTCTTATTCGTCGTAACTTTTCTCTTGTCTTCTATTACATCCGGAAATGAAATTTGTTCTATGAAATGTTGTGTACGAATTGATCACAAATAATGTTCGCGAATAGAAAGAATTAATTAATATAATGGTTGAGCATTATCTTAAAATATCAGTTAACACTACGAAGTAAGGTGAGATTAATGAATCATTATATTTGAAACATTAGCTGCCAGCGTATAACAAACTAAACTTAAAAGACAAAATGCAGCTCGCACGTAGATGGTCAATGATTATCCTTTGTTCCAGCTCAACTATATCTATGATCATATATGAGTTAACGTTACCAGAAGTCTGAAGAAATCGCTTATTCTCCAGTAAGATATACCGAACGTAAACAGCTAAATCTATCTCGTTTCTCCGAAACTAATGGATGTATCAAAATTTGATTCAGTTACGTTTGTGTAAAAGGTAGAAAAGTAAAAAAGATTAGTTCATAATTAACACGTGAAAATATTTATCGTTACAAAATAAATGCTTTGTGCAGAATGCAAGCGTAATATATATGCATATGTTATATTAACAGGTATTTGAATAATGCTTTTTTTTAAGAACAAAGGTATAAACAAGCCTCCTACCGTGAGATATGCATATCTTAATGCTTTGTTCACAGTTGCCGAACTTGTAGTATATATATATATTATATCAACCATACATAAATATACGAAGCTGCGGTACATTTTAATATTTATAAATTTATTTATATGTAACTTTACTTTTTTTTCAAAAAAGGTGATTTAAATCTTAATAATTTTATTGTAGATTCAGGTTATCAGCCTTTTCTCAATCTTAGCATAATTCCTCGCGTCTCATAAAAAAATTAAATAAACTATTGAATGAACGAAACCCTATTTGTCATTGTAGTCTTAAAACTACAGAAATTACAGCTAAATTTAGACACATACGCTGATCAATGCATCATAGCTCTTGGTATGAAGTTACATATATATATGTATATATAATTATATAGTTACATATATATATTCTTTTTCACTTTACCAATATTCATTATATTAATAACTCTTATCGTTCTCAAAATATAGAATCCAAGAAAATCTGCACAGTTTCCGAATGTTTGTTTTGAATTATTAAATAAAAGCGTATGTAACAGCAATGCGAATAATAGTATCTTTCTTTCCGTACTATATTGCTGATACTAATACTTTAAATCGGAGGAAACTTTGTAGATTTCAAACATTTTCTGTCCAATAAACTCAAGTGTTTATGAGTATATGTATGTATATGTGTATATATACATATATATATATAGGAATCAATGCAGCGGGCCGTTAAATCTAATCGTTGCGAGGACCGATTACAATGCTGTAGGCTCATTTCTCAATTAAAACGGTCAGAAACGGCCAAGACAGACTGTCACTTAACCCATTCCTACATATATAAATCAATATATATATATATGTATACATATATATCTTTTTCTTTCTGTATATATTAATATTTTATATGTAAAAGACTTTGACTCTGTCACTCAATAAACATTATGTAATAATGATTAAAAAAGAAAATTATGTTACAAATAATCAAAGCATAAAAAAAGTATTGCATGAAAGCTATATTTAGATTCTAATTCGTATGAACGCGATGTCAGGAAAGATTCTTGTATGCCGGTCACTTATGTATTATATACCTTCCACCATTACTTTTCATATATCCAGTTTCGAATAATTTCTTTGTATCAACAGATTCATAAAATCACATTAAGTGTGCAATTTATGTATGTATATATATGTTACTGTGTGTGTGTGTGTGTGTGTGTGTGTGTGTGTGTGTGTGTGTGTGTGCGCGCGCGCGCGCGCGTGTGTGCTCGTTATTTGTATTTGTTAGACGTATATGTTTATAATGGTTGTATAATTCATTTGCATATTAATAATACATTTTAAATATCTTCGATTTCACAAAACATTTTTAAACTGTAATACTTTTTTTAAAGTTATTTTCGTTCTTCACTATACGTTAGGCTCATGGATGAACTTTTTAAAAATAGAAGTTTATATCGAAACAGAAAGCATGTTCGCGGAAGAATAAAAAAAAAGACAATTAAGCTTATCATTGCTAACGATTTCCAGTATAATATTGAACAAGTTTTCGTATCAGGAACGTGATACTTCACTTCCTGCGAAATGTAAGTTTATAGGGCACTCTTATCTTTCTAACTATGAACAGACCATCATTTGTTCACGTACATACATGACTATGTATACGTAATATGTATAATATATATTTATGCTTCGTGTATGTATACGATACATACTTTGAATATGAACACTGCAGTTTATGGTACAAGGTACCGCAATTTTATTTTTCAGTAAAAGAAAAAAACATCATCAGAGATGTTTATTCCTTCTCCTAACGACTTGATTTTGAATCAAGTTCAAGCTCATGTAAGTGGGCAACGTTTGCCATAAGAAACAATGATTTCCAATTCTTACAGGAAAGATATTAATTTAGACAATATAAATAATCAGTTCAATTGTTCCTCGTGCGTTGCACGAATGCATGTTAATATACTAACAGTGGATATCATTTTAATTTCCTAGAGCTAAACTTACCAGAGCATTAAATATTTTAGACAATGAGTGCCCTCTATTTCTTACAGAATTGTTCTTACATCGATTAATTACTGCGCTGTCTGCTGTTGAATTTCTATTTTCTCAACTGTCATGTCTGGATTCATCGCGGTAGCTTCTTGGATCGCCTCCGCTAAAGCACGATCGTGATCGATGGGATCACCATCCGATTGTATCGTGATCTTCTGTTCTACCCGTGTCTCTACGACTCCATCCCTCTCGGTTTTATACTAAAATAGAAATGGTGAAGGTGTAATAGCGTATACTCTACGAAATGTTCACGCCAAGAACAGAAAATATCTTACTGTAATGGTTTCAACAGTACGAGTTTTACTGGATATTGTTTGAGAGCTGACTATCTCTCCCGTTGCGCTATACAAACCATCCTCGCTCTCAACAGCTACTTTTCTAGTTTCAGTTGCNATATGTAAAAGACTTTGACTCTGTCACTCAATAAACATTATGTAATAATGATTAAAAAAGAAAATTATGTTACAAATAATCAAAGCATAAAAAAAGTATTGCATGAAAGCTATATTTAGATTCTAATTCGTATGAACGCGATGTCAGGAAAGATTCTTGTATGCCGGTCACTTATGTATTATATACCTTCCACCATTACTTTTCATATATCCAGTTTCGAATAATTTCTTTGTATCAACAGATTCATAAAATCACATTAAGTGTGCAATTTATGTATGTATATATATGTTACTGTGTGTGTGTGTGTGTGTGTGTGTGTGTGTGTGTGTGTGTGTGTGTGCGCGCGCGCGCGCGCGTGTGTGCTCGTTATTTGTATTTGTTAGACGTATATGTTTATAATGGTTGTATAATTCATTTGCATATTAATAATACATTTTAAATATCTTCGATTTCACAAAACATTTTTAAACTGTAATACTTTTTTTAAAGTTATTTTCGTTCTTCACTATACGTTAGGCTCATGGATGAACTTTTTAAAAATAGAAGTTTATATCGAAACAGAAAGCATGTTCGCGGAAGAATAAAAAAAAAGACAATTAAGCTTATCATTGCTAACGATTTCCAGTATAATATTGAACAAGTTTTCGTATCAGGAACGTGATACTTCACTTCCTGCGAAATGTAAGTTTATAGGGCACTCTTATCTTTCTAACTATGAACAGACCATCATTTGTTCACGTACATACATGACTATGTATACGTAATATGTATAATATATATTTATGCTTCGTGTATGTATACGATACATACTTTGAATATGAACACTGCAGTTTATGGTACAAGGTACCGCAATTTTATTTTTCAGTAAAAGAAAAAAACATCATCAGAGATGTTTATTCCTTCTCCTAACGACTTGATTTTGAATCAAGTTCAAGCTCATGTAAGTGGGCAACGTTTGCCATAAGAAACAATGATTTCCAATTCTTACAGGAAAGATATTAATTTAGACAATATAAATAATCAGTTCAATTGTTCCTCGTGCGTTGCACGAATGCATGTTAATATACTAACAGTGGATATCATTTTAATTTCCTAGAGCTAAACTTACCAGAGCATTAAATATTTTAGACAATGAGTGCCCTCTATTTCTTACAGAATTGTTCTTACATCGATTAATTACTGCGCTGTCTGCTGTTGAATTTCTATTTTCTCAACTGTCATGTCTGGATTCATCGCGGTAGCTTCTTGGATCGCCTCCGCTAAAGCACGATCGTGATCGATGGGATCACCATCCGATTGTATCGTGATCTTCTGTTCTACCCGTGTCTCTACGACTCCATCCCTCTCGGTTTTATACTAAAATAGAAATGGTGAAGGTGTAATAGCGTATACTCTACGAAATGTTCACGCCAAGAACAGAAAATATCTTACTGTAATGGTTTCAACAGTACGAGTTTTACTGGATATTGTTTGAGAGCTGACTATCTCTCCCGTTGCGCTATACAAACCATCCTCGCTCTCAACAGCTACTTTTCTAGTTTCAGTTGCTACCAGTGGAACCGTCGTAGTCGCTGTTACATTAGTTTCTGGTTCTCCTTTATCGTGCGTCTCGCTTGCAAGAACACTAGCCGGGTCGCCCTGAATCAGATTTTAACACTGACATTTATTTCGTACAGGAAATAACAACTCCTCAGAAGTAGAATACTTAACGTGAACGATATATTACAATGTACAAAGAATGATTAATGCGCTAAATAGGGACATAGACGATAAACGATGAACCAATTTTAAGTATTGTAAGTTTCTTGTTATACTCATGAAATATTAATTGGTAATACCTTAAAACCAGTGCCTTCAAGATAATGAAACGTTATACTTCTTAGATTGTTTATGTTATTTTTTAGTATTGATGAATGTTAACCGATGAGAACCAATGTGACAAATACATTTTAAACAATTCAATCAGCAGCAATAATAGCGCCTTTGCGACAATTTTCATTCAGTTTTTAGTAATGCTTTTAATAGATGTTACATAGTGCGGTATGAGTAGAGAAAAAAAACATGTACCTGAACGGAGATCCACTCAGTAACTTAAAATGTTTTCGTAATTACATTTGTACAGGTACTCTCGCAGAAATAAGAAACATCTCTAATAACTTTCGATAAAAATCGCTAATAAAATTGTACGATCCTTGAAGATTTACCTGATAATATTGATTGTAGAAAGCCTGCTGATCATCTTCAAGGTCAATTGGAGTACCTGAATCATCGCTGCTTGAACTGGATGTACTGAGCCTTCGTAAGAACAGCTACACCATGCAATGTGTTAACCAAGCCGGCAAAAATTAATTACAAAAATAAATAAAAAAAAATCATGTAGTACGAAAAATAGCATGGGTTAAATTTTATCAATTAATCAGCATTATGAATGAATTGAGTATTATTGGTAGTACGCTTGTATTCGTAAAATTATAAGATAATTTGAAGTGTATGTGCAGCGATCGGAACTGTTGTAAATTACACACCTAATACAACAACGCAATCCGTTTGAATCGTATTCCTGTTATTAGGTCACTACAAAAATAATGGTCGCATTTTCTTTTAAAAGACAAAGGAAAAGGAATCCACCTATTATTCTTGCAGCAACCTGATAGTATCAACCAAAAATATGGTATGTGGTATTTTCCGTGAATGCTTACATGCTTTAACCATTAGTTGTGAGCTATGTACGCTATCGCAGAGTTTAGAATTCGCAATTACCTGTTCACCGGAAAGAACGTGGCTCGTTGTTCGAACTTCTTGAGTTACCACTCTCTGCTCCTGTCTCGTTGCGCTGGTAGCGGTTGTGTGTGCTACAGTCTTTTCTTCTACCTGATATGACAAAAATAATTATAAAAAAAATTGCACTAACACTATAGACAAATGTGTTGGGCATGTAAAGAAATTCTTGTTCGCGGAATGAACATCGAATAAGCGATAGTGCGTGAACAATTTACAAACCTGGCTGGTCTTTTGGTTCTTTTCAAGGTCCTCGTGCATGGTAGCGGTACGAGTGGTAACAGCGGTCGCTGTCATGTAGGGAGCTCTACCGTCATCCGGTGCCTCTGCCTAAATACAACTACAAGGTGACTAGTGTCTCATAATAACAGAACAATATGTGTGCATATGAAATTTCAAACGAATACAAGATATATGTATATCATGGTGTATATTCAATGAAATCTTTCTTCTTTCTTATGCACTGGTTTCAAGATGATTATTGTAGCTTTTATACGTGTACGCGCGTTTGATTTGCAACTTATATCAACAATACACACAGCATGCGATACACAAATACTACTGAGGATTACATTGCAAGACATACAATACATATTGTCAAACTCGTAAATACGCTACAACGAATACTTATTTCAAGAAATATTTCAAAAATTCAAACGGTATGTTCAAATAATAATGAACACACGAGAACAAAGAATGAAATTGAATGCGCCCTAAGTAAAATCTGTCTTTTGACGGTTCAACCTTTCAGTTCGGATTGTTCCGTTTACCTTCTCTAGTTAGTGCAGAAGTGATTGGTTAGAGTATCTCGTGTTACTTGACAAAATTATATCACCTTGTTAATCTGTGTGGAAACGGTTACTTGGCCTGTCCCTCCGGGCGTGAGATCCTCAATTTTCTCTTCTATATTTTGTGTAACACCCTCCTGATCTTTCACCACAGACTGCTTGGTGGTTGTTTTCACTATGGTTGGAGCGGTGCTTGGAATCGCAGGTTTCTTTGTCTTGGAAACAGTACTCTTCGCGGTGTCCTGCACTTCCTTCATGATGGTGTCACTATCCAACGGTTGTCCAGAGCTGGTGAACACCATGCCATCCTTTACGAACGCTCCCTCTTCCCCGAAAATTTCTTGATTCATCGGCTTTCCGCATTTGTCGTAAATCTTTCCATGTTCAACGTAGCTACCGTCGTTCGAAAACGGCGCCTGCAGTACAGGCTTCCCATCTTTGTCTGTCAGCAGACCTTTCCGCACCGAAGTGATGGTAATTACAGTAAAGTATTTATCCAGGGGCTTACCCGACGATGTGTAAACAATGCCGTCTTTAATAAGATTGCCTTCGGGGTCAAAGGTTGCCTGTTTCAGGGCTTTACCCGTTTTATCAACCAAAACACCCTGCACTACCTTCAAACCTTCAGGACCGAATGCTTCTTGAGTTAGCGGTTGTCCATTCAAGTCATAGATCTTTCCACTCCTGATGAAACTAGTTTCCGCAGGTAATGTACCCTGCGTCGCTGGTTTCCCGTTGGCCCCGTATATCAGTCCATCTTTGACACAGCTGCCATCGTTCTTGTAGATTTCCTGATTCAGGGGTTGCCCCGTGTGATCGTAAATCCTTCCGTCTTTAACGATACTGCCATTCGAATCGAAATTACCATATTTCAACGGTTTACCATCGTTTCCGCACACTAATCCGTACCGCACCAGCGTAACGGTAATAACCGTTTGCTTTTTATTCGATGGCTTCCCGCTTGCCTCGTGTATCAGGCCATTCTTTATGTAGCTACCATCACTGCCAAATGTTCCATGACCAAGGGGTTTCTTGTCTTTACCATACACGATACCGTTGGCGATATATCCGCCATCGGAGCCAAACGAACTGTGGTCCAGAGGCTGCTTATCTTTCCCATAAATCCTACCCTCCTCGATGTAGCTGCCACTAGGCAATGCTGATCCAGCGTTCAGCAACTGGCCGCCCCAACCGTGCACAAGGCCGTCTCTGATGTAACTGCCATCCGGTTTGAATGCTCCTTGTTTCAACGGACACTGATTCTTATCGTAGACCACACCATCTTTGATGTAGCAGCCATGAGGAATCAGGGATGCCATATTTTTAGGGTTTCCTTGGTTGTCGACGATCTTTCCATCTTTAACAGCTAAGCTGTCTGGCCCCTTGTCGTCCTGTGTCAACGGTTTCCCATCCCTGCCGATGATCAACCCATTCTTGATGATGTTACCGTCTGGTCCGAAGACACCGTCCAATATTATTTTACCGTCTTTCCCGAAAATTATACCGCCGGCGACGTAGGAGCCATCGGATCCAAACATGTCTCTGTTCAAAGGCATGCCATTCGAGTCGAAGATCACTCCATTAGCAATGTAATTGTCCTCCGCAAGAGCCGCACTTTGATTCAACGGTTTTCCATCTAGCCCATACACGAGACCATCTCTGACGTAACTTCCATCCGGCCTGAAGTACGAGAACTTCAACGTTTTCCCATCCTTGGAACATAGCTTACCATCTTTAATGGACGCGCCTTCGGGCACTAATGAATCTTGATTCAAAGGTTTACCACTCTTCGCGTGAACAACACCTTTCTTTATATAGCTTCCGTTGGAGCCGAACGATTCCTGTTTCACTGGTTTACCGTCTCTCCCGATCACGTTTCCGTTCTTGATCAGCATCCCGTCCGGCCCGAGGGAAGCATCCGTCAACGTTGCTCCCTTCGCATAATAGATTACACCGTCTTTGATTACGGTGTCGTCGGGTTTGAAAAGATTCTGCGACAATGGCCGGCCGTTGCTGCTGTACACAACGCCTTCTTTGATATAGCTTCCGTCTGCTATCAGTGGAATCTGGCTCAGAGGCCTGCCGTCTTTGCCATACAGAATACCATCTTTGACAAAGCTTCCATCAGGCTTGTAGAACGCGTGCTTGATCGCTTTTCCATCCTTACCGACGATCTTTCCATCCTTCAAATGAGCACCGCAAGGAAGCAGAGATCCTTGATTCAAGAACTTCCCATCCTTCGAGTAGATTATACCATCCTTTATGACGGATCCGTCTGAACTAAAGGATTCATGTTTCACCGGTTTTCCATCCTTCGAATAAACTTTTCCGTCTGCTATGTAATGGCTCTCGTGTCCCAGAACACCATTGCCCAGAGCGCTTCCCGATGATCCACAGATTAGACCATCGCTGATATAAGTTTGATCCGGTATAAGCGCGCTTTGACTCAACGGTTTACAGCTCTTATCGAACACTGTACCGGCAACGATATAGCTTTCGTTAATACCGTAGGAGCCCTGCGTCAACGGTTTCGAATCGGCAGAAAACACGAGGCCCTCCTTAACGTACGTTCCGTCGCTGCCTAGCTTACAATATTGTACCGGTTTACCGTTCTTCGTCACTATTTTACCGTCTTTGACTAGTGTGTGGTCCGGTCCTAACAAATGCTGTTCAGCTATTTGTCCATCGCAGCCGTAGATAGTGCCGTCTTTTATGAAGTTCCTTTCAACACCTAGGACTCCTTGGTTCGTCGGCTTGCCATCTTTAGTGGTAACCACGCCGTTGTGAACGTACAGCCCGTGAGGACCAAAATCTGCCTTTTTAATTGGCTGGCCATCCTTTGTGCATACCTTTCCATCGATTATTCTGCTACTGTCCGGACCAAGGCTGTGTTGATCCAACGGTTTACCATCTTTGGTATAAATTACACCTCCGATAACTTTCGATCCATCTGGCAACGGTAGAATATGATATTCTGGTTTCGATTCTGCAACCGGCAGTGGAACCTTGCTAACTTGACGATCAGCGTGTTCCTGTTGCTTTTCAGCGGCGATCAGGATTGCTGATGGATCCTTGTCAGCTTTCGGTTGTGCAGCAGTTTTCTGTTGTTCCTTCAATCCCGCTGATTCAACATAATTCAGACCCGGGGTCTTTAATCCTGGTTTAGCCGCGTCCGCTTCTTTGGTTTTCCTCTTTTCTGCTGATTCCGCCACTTTCTTCTCCTCACCGGGAGCGTAATTAAAGGCCAGACCCGTGGCTTTGCGACTCGCAGCAGTCGGTGATTGTTGACTTTGCACTCCAGGCGACGCCGGTCTGTCCTCGTACGAGAATCCGTGAGGTGTGAACCGTTTTCTCGTCGGAGAGGTTTCTGTCTCTTCGTAGTCGTAGGGCTTGGTGTAGCTAGGCAGTTGCGGTGATTCCGGACCGGTCTTCGGCTTCTCGATGTTCGACGTCTCCGTTAAAGGTTTCGCCTGTTTCTCCAACGTGGAGAGATTCGATTCCGTGTCGCTCTTCTCCAGAGATTCTTCCAGCTCCTTGTTCTTCTTTTGTTTCTTCTGCTTCGAGTCCTTTTCCTTTTTGCCAAATAGGAAGCCACCGACAGGACTCTTTCGTAATAAACAAAAACATGCAATGCCAGAAACATGCTGTATACAGTGGATGAAAAAAACTGTCGAAGCAAATAGACATATCCGAATGTGTGAAACTTTTTTTAATCCACTGTACCTATTAATGCACAGGGTGAGCCACGAGAAAATGAACGAACAAATGCACGAGGCCTTGGATTCCAACAATTGGGTGTTCGGTTTCTCGAGGCTCGCTCTGCGTATAATGTAAATATATCACAAAAGAAACTAACGGAGCTAAGAAGAAACTACTATTTTTCTCTGACTAGGAACAAATTAACGATCGTGCATATGTCTGTACTTCGGATGTACAGTTGAAATGCGAAGAGTTCTATCGACGTAATCGTTTTAATATGATTATCATCCTTTTAACGGCTAAGTTTCTTTCCGTAATCAGTGATACACGCTGTTGTAGCAGCGTGGATACCTTGAACATGAAGCACTTACCTTTATTTTCTCTTTCTTTTCTTTATCTTTTTTCTCGGGTGTTTCCTTGTCTTTCTTTTTCAGTTCTTTTTTACTGGGCGACTTTACGTCGTTGCTGTCGAGAACAGCGTTTTCGTTAATCAGATCGGAGTTGTTTAGATCGTTATGATTCTCCTTTTCATTCTCGTTTTGCTTATCCTTTTTCTTCTTAGATAGACCACCGGGCGGTAGGACCGCGATCCCTCCGACCGGTTTCTATAAGTAAATTTATAGTCACACATCGCTCCATGCAGTAAGCACGAATGAAAACTCTATCGGCTAAGCTACCAACTACTGTACACAGTATATGTATATTTATAAATATATAAATCACGGTCTGCCGGCATATATGTTTCATGCTTGACAACTAAGTACGGTCTGCGCTCTCAAAATTAGTATATATATATGTATATATATATAAATATGTATAATAGTCGTTGATCGGTTAGAATCGGTTACGACGAGCATACTTTCCTGTTGCGTATTTTATGTACTCTGATTCTTTTTTCTCTTCCAATAGCACTCCTTGCAACAACGTGCCGCTCGTAATGGTTATTTATTACATGCGGACAAACCGGTGTGCGGTAAAGATTGAAAAATATATTTAATTCTATATGAGACTCGTTGGAAGTAATTTGCATTAATGTTTGTAATAATTCTTTACACATGCTTGCGCTGCGGATAATTAACACGTTAAACGTCATGTCGCCCATATCTGGGTGACGGCTATATTTCCGCAGTCTTCGTCCAATTAAAGCAGGATTTTGGAGGCAATTTATAATAATTTGATTTGTAACACAACTTGTATATGTTGTTGGGACACAACAAAATATACTTATACTAATAATAAAATAAAATAATAAAATATAAAATATAGTTATACTAACAAATTGTACTTATATTGAAATTTGTTTTTAAAATATTATAACACTTTATTAGTTACGATGGAATTCGTTAAAACATTGTAAACATAATTGGAGTAACTCTGGACACTCAGGACAATACGTTATAGTCCTTTTTAAATTTTCCTTTGCTTCGTGACGCCCGGAGAAACTCTACCTGTTTGCGCTGTGCGTTCAACGTGTTAATTGTCATCGGGGTAAACTCGAATGAAATTTAGCTTTGAGGCGATGGCCGTATGATGCTTGCAAAATAATTGAGAAAAAAAAGATAGCAACATGCATCGGGGTAGAGGAAAACACCAAATGGTCACATACAACAAGACCAGCGGAGGTAGGTGTAACTGTTAATGCACGATAAAATGGTCCCAGGTGAATTTCTATACCTTTTTGCCACGATCTGCATCGTACTCTCCTTCCAGGCTACTGGTACTGCTAGCGGATGTTGTTCCAGCACTTGTTTTGCGTGTGAGCTACCGGTGTTAGGTTAATGGTGTCAGTTAGTCTTTTTCTTTTTTCTTTTTATGATAAAGAAGCACTAAGTCGTGATAATTGAAATCAAGTTATACAAATGCCATGTGTTCACGTTCTGACAATAGTCCATGAGACAATGTCTTGTAAAGACTACGAATTTCTACGGTTCTTGCATGGGGATATGGTTGGTCTTTAGAATTTTATACAAGTTAATTAACGATCGTCATTTTTTTCCAGTGTAAATAAGGCAAGTATCGACCATTCTTCTCTGCAAGTTTTTAGAATCGTGATCACATCTAATGTTAATTAACTTGCATTTGAATTATATGCCTGAACAATTTTTAACATATTAAAATGTCTAATACATACGACCACGCCTAACACATGGTACCACGTTATTAATGGGAATCATTAACATGCCACGGCTAAATTTGGATAAGTGTACAGTGATCGTACTATCATTTCTAGCAAATAGATTTATCCTGCTTTTGTCAGAGTGATCCAATTGGTGTTCCATAATTTCTCGGTTTTCTCAAAGTATGGCATTTCTCAAAATGATATCTTATAGATTACGGTACGACTGAATTAGTTGGATTTAGTTGGATATTTTTTTAGGTTCAGAGAATCGATTTCGTTTGAAAGCGTAGACCGCAGGTAAAAATCAGAGATTCCTCAAGATGGATCGTTCGTGAAATAATCTCTCAGTCTGCATGAACAGTTCATGCATGTTCTACAAACTATCACTATATCGAGTCAATAATAAAAGTAAATAGAGAAATATATATACACTTTTCTTTTTACCTTTTCCTTTTGCTTTTTAATTGGACTAGGCCGTTGATCTATATGCTCCATATCGGGGATCATTTCCGGTTCATAGCTCATTGTGTGTCTTTTGCTGGGCTCGGAACCGTAACTCTCGACTTGTTTAGGTCCGCCTAGCGCTGTATAAAGCAGTCGCATTATTAAAGAATCCTCATGCAAACACAAGCACTGAAGAAGCGGTTCCTCCCATCAAGTCGATCAGAAAAAAGGTATCAAAGAGAAAGAAGAAAACTATGGTTACCGTCCATGCTGCGAGAAGTCGGACGACGACCGCTCAACGATCTCTCGAATTGCGGGGGTTGCCTATCGATAGGCGTCTTTTTTGTTTCGTAATGAGTTCTTCCCGAGTACCGGAAGCGGGAACCCAGATGCGGTATTAGTCCTACTTTCTTAACAGGCTCCGGACTCATGAGCCTAAAAGCATTTCCAATGATATCATTCCATCTCCGCGATTATTTTGTTGGGTCGCGTACCTGAAGAAAGTATGGTGTTCCACGCAAACTTTCCACAGTTTCTTTGCCGCCCTGTGATTCGCCAATTTGAATCCGATCGTCGACTCAAATTGCTCGAACTCGCCCGGTCTGATCTTTATATAAAAATTGTGCCTCTTGTAGGAGATCTTCAAAATCTTCGGCCAGGCGAATCTGTTGATCCGCAATCGATCCCTGTAGACAAGCAGGCCCGACGAACACACGCCTAGCATGATGTCAACGCCCTCGGAATCTTTGGCCGGATGAAGATCGACGCCGTACATCGCCAACTTCTTCGCGTTCTCGAGATAATGGAGCTCCGCCTCGGCGGGCGTCTGACCCCTAAAAGTGATATTTTGTTTTTTTCAAAACAACCTTCGCCGGATACGAGGCAAATCGTTTTCGGATTATCAATGAAGACTGACTTATGCGTTTTATGGAGGTCCATTACTTTTTCCACTAACTCCGGCGTCTGATTCGGAGCGAACTTGAAGTCCTTCAAGTAGGTGCGGCCGTGCGCGTCCGAATCGTAATCCCCCACCTCGGATTGCACCAAGTATGAACCAAGGAGGGCATGGGTTACGAACGAGCACGGCAATCGCCCCGTGATAATGTCGTTTCGTATCTGGAGGCATAACTGATAACGCGTTATGTCCTCCTGCAATTGAGCTGGATCCGGTGGATAAAACTTCACTTCGAAATTAAACTTCCACGGTTCGTCTGCAATAGAACGGACATCGTTGTCAATGGCGAGCAAGAGACAATGAAAACTAGCTCATCCTGCAGACAATGCGAATTTCCAATTACACTTTTGGGATGTGAAATACAGTCACATAATGGGTTGCGAAAACATGGAAAAAGGAAATTCGCATTGCTTGTGAGACAACCCGGGCGACCAGTACTTTTTATGAACTTTGCAATCCTCTTGTCTAGATCCAGCCAGTTTCTCGAGTCGTGTCTGTCTTCGTAGATAAGGCCGAAGTAGTCCTTCTCGAGAAGATTCATGCTCTGGCAGATCATGTCGAGAAGATCCTGGCCCTTCGCTTTTCTCTGTAAAGGATTCATTCGATTAGGATTCACGATACTCGTCGCACGAAGACAATTCGGCGGAAATACTCACGTCGATGTGGAAGTCTTTGACGGTCCCATCGAGAAGAGTGATGTTCGCCACGGCCATTTTACCCCTGCTAACTGGACTCTTCGTGGGCGAGTTCGTTCCGGTCCCATTTTCCGCGGCTACTTCCGGTGGGCCGCCGGCAATCTTCTGTTCCTCCGGCATGTCCCAGCCCTGTGCTGAAAAACCAAAGACCCATCAGACGCGTTATACAAATCATTATCGAGAGAACAGCCGAGGCTGCTAACGAGTCTATTTCCTGAATGATTCGCGCGTTGCCGCGTCGTCGAATGATCGCGTGCCACTCCAGCGTATTCGAGTATAGATCCTGTCTAGACTGGACGGTGCCATGTAAAGAAATAATCAATATTTGCTCGACTCTCGGTGTTGCTCGTACCCTTCGCAAACCGTGCGGCTCGTCTCTCGCTATCAGCGGAAAAGGAGCGCGCCGGCGAGTGCTCCAAGTTCATTAACTTAATTCGCGTCGCGAGTCCTCGGCAAAGCGCGCAAACATGTTGCACACCTTCCAGTCAATTTCCAGAGCGCTAATGGCGCGACGAGTCGCTTCGTACAAACGGTTACGCTTTTCTGCAGCGTTTAACGCATTTCGATTGTCCGCGGCAAGGGCAAACGCAGTCCAGGATGCGAGGCAAGCTGGAAGCCTCGAAGAAAGCTGCTCCCCGGAAATGAGAGCAATATCGATAGCCCGCGAGAGGTAATCGATAGTCTAGCAGACCTGTTGAGTTGCATAATACTTAAAGATTTACTTGACACAACCGTGCGCAATATAGAATCGACGCTCGGTTATCCTTAGTTGCAATTATTTGATTTATCGCGTTGGACCACGCCCAGACAGCTCTCTGGCACCTCGAAGAGCCTTCGGCTATCTCCTACAAGCACCGATGCTTGGACACTGTGCCACGAGGACGACACAAATATACGGAAAATACCGAGAAATCGGTGGAAAAGTGTTTTGGCCACAGGTTGCAGCCGCGTCGAATGCAAGCGTGCATCCGCGCAGGTCGTTGGCCCTGTGTGCAGAATAAACGGTGGCCGTCTCGATACCTAGCCAATGAAGCGCCGATATTTCTTACGGCGTCGCGCTGAAAATATCGCGACCAGGTATTATTGGACGCCGCTATAAAAATACGTGTCTGGATCGATCCGGTGAAAGGTGGCGTGGGAGGAGGGGACGACGACAACGACAACGACAACGACAAACACACTCGATTTCGAGAAACGCGCAGCGAACGGTCCTAACGGTGGAAGAAAGAAACGCGGAGAAATTACAACGACCCTGACCGACACGCTTCGCGTACACCAGGGGGATTATTCAAATCGAGCCTGTCCACTGGTTCTACCAGCGCGGAGCGACTTACGCAACCACACCCGGGCAAATAGTAATTCAACCTCAATTGCACGGAATCAAAGCCGTTGCGGGATGCTGTTCAAACAGCATTAATGCCTCTCCTCGACGGCCGCCATCGTCGCGGTTCCTTTTCTATGCACGATTGCAGGAAAACAAAGCCGTAAAAATTCGCCGTTCCTAGATATTAGATCATCATCGTCGAGGAGCACCATCGTGCAGGAAGCGTCCGAAGGATCGATCGAATGAACTCTTCTCGTACAGGTGAGTGTCTCAAATGATCTCAGCCAGTTTCGCAACCTTTGTCCCTAGCGATCGCTATCTCAGCCGCGTTGCATTCTACCTGTCGCATATGAAAATTTCTATTTACAATCTACGACAACAGGAAAATTGTATCCGATTTCGACTCGAAAGAAGCAAACAACAACGTCCGTTTTTCGACACGCTTGACCCGGCGTGACTCACGAAACCGTGGCACAAAGAGGGAATCGCGGTGTCGCCGTAACGGAAATCATTGTTTAGCGACCAATTCACCGACGAATGCAGCTTGTTGCACCGTGGGCCACGTAACCGGCGATTACGGGCACCGCCGCCGGGTTGTGTAACCCGCGATCGAATAAAAATACCAAAACCCAGGCAATCCTAAGGTCCGACGGTCCGACCGTGTTCCGAGCCAAAACAGCGTTTATCCTCGAGAGCAGAGAGGCGTTGCGATTCCACGAGAATCCGCTGGATTTTAGGAGATCGTTATTCTCGCGAACGAGAGGAGGTTCCGCCCGAGAGGATGCCGTCATCGCTGGAAGCAGACGTCCTTTGCAGCGGCCACGGCGGCGTCGATGAAGTAATACGCCGATTAGCAAGCGCGATGACGCGGCGACGGCCAATATCGGTGTACATATACACGCGTTGCTAACGCTGCGAATCGAGTTAGCCCCGCGGAGACAAACTGGATTGCCGTTTCGAAGATCGCCGGCATTCCAGAACTCGGCGTGTCCGATTAAGAAGGTTCGCCGGCCGCGAATCCGCCTGACCCAGGCATAAAGAGAGCTTCGGGTCGCCGAGCGGAAGCTTCGGATCGTCGCGTGGAAGCTGCGGATGCATCTTGAAACCGTCCGGTAAATGCGGCGAAGGGGGGCGGGGGCGCCTTGCAATCTCGTGTGCTGGAAGCAGCGGAAAGATATGAACGGAGATGGGAGAAGCAACGCTGCTAAAAGGATGAGTATTTTTCAGAAATTGTAAAAGCTCGGCGGCAGCGGCGGCGGAGGTTGATGGTAGTGGCGAAGGGAAAGAGCCGATCCCGGTTGCGCCGGTGTTAAAAGTTTAAAGAGCCCGCGGTGAATGGGCCGAGCCGGTCTGAAAGAATCTGTTTTTTTCCGTCGCCGGGAGGTGATCCTTTCAGAGAGAGAGACGCGTGGGCTTTCGTTCGGTCGTCGTGTGTCAAAGGGCTGATTGTGAGCGAGGGTCGCGTGATCCATGGCACACGCCCACGCCTCTGTACACAGACTCGAGACGAGCACCGGCGCGCCGAGATCGTGATCGTGATCGTGATCGTGATCATGATCGTGTGTTCGTGAATTCCGATCCTTTTAAAAAAATCGAAACGTCGTTTCTCGAACAAGTCCGACAAACATCTCGAGAACTAATTGGTCGATTCGAGGGAATTCTTCATCGAAGGCAGTGAAACCGCATTTTTCAGAAATCCGGAATTGCGGCGAATCGACGAAGAATATGTTCGACTTGAAAATACCAGGAAACGATTGAAACGGAATGTTTTGTTCATACTTTCACGGATCGCAGAGACGTCGGTAGCTGGATGGATTAAATCAAAAGAATAAGTTAACATCGGCGATGGAGTGGCTTGTGCTCGATGGTAATGGGAATCGAGGGGCAAGCAGACGGCTCCTTGAAATACGCGGGTAGCGCGCGGACTAATGGCGATTAAATGCCGTAAATACGGTGTACGGGGTGGATAATCGAGGAGCGGTGTCTTCCGGTAAAAGGAGGACCGCGCGTCCCGATCCCAAGAGAGTCTCGGAGAGGCGGCCTGGGGGCTTTCCCATTATTGGCTCGTATTTTCCAGTTAACGGAATCTTGCGCGGCCTCTCGAGCAGGAGAGTCAATTTGCTATCGTCGGATCTACGCGCGACTCGTCCCTTAATCGAACAATTTTGCAGAGGGTTGGCGACGGCCGCCGTCGTCTCGGGGCGTGTTTGATCGATCGACGGACACACCGGTGATGCCACGTATCTAACGCGAACGGATACGCCTGACAATTTTTCGCGTGGGCGTGCAACAGCTATTGCGGAAGACCGATAGACCGAGAAAAAGCGACCGGCTTCGTCCGCTTTTCCAGACGCCGCCGGACGCATTCCGGCGAACCGCCTCGTCGCTTCGACAATTTCCATCTCGAATCGAGGCGAAGCCACGATAACCACTGCACAGAAATTCCTAGAAACAGAGGAAACGACGAATCGCTCGCGATCCCAGCGCACGAAGTTCTGAGAAACAATAACGCTCGGCCAAAATTTTCAACTTTCATGTTCCAAGCAAAATTTGTTTCTCCTACGCGTTGATAATTCCTCGGAACCTCGAGAGATACAGAATATTAACAAGCTCGTGTAACTCTGTGATTAGATACAGTGTTCCAAAAACAGAAATATGAGATTGAAATTAAATAAACTAATATAATAATAATACTAGAAATATGAAAATAGTACAGTTCTTCCTGTATGCATGCAAGCATGTATTATACTTCGACTCTTTATGCATGTCCAAAACATATTTTAGACCATGTAGAAAGAACGGTTAGGTTTTTAACCTTTTAAACTTGAACAAGAATTAGTACTCGCTGCACTATAACCATATTGTACATTGAAACAACGCTAAAATAATTTAAGCCGCAGAAAGCGAAATTCCTAAGCATTGTGCAAGGGAGAGAGAGCCGGAGACGGAACGGTTTGCCCGCTGAATTATCGCTCGCGTCGCCTCCGCGATAAATTCCGTCCCGCAATCAGCGAAATGAAACAACGTCCGCGTCGTCGCGTTAACGCGGGGATGAAGGAAACGAGCGAGCAACGAGCGAGCAACGAGCGACGAGTAACGAGCGACGGAGTAACGAGTATACAGGCACGAGGAATCGGTCGGTCTCGAGAGCCCGGTGGCCCACGAAAATCTGCGGGGGCGGTTTTCACGGCTTCGAGACCCTTTAATTTCACGCGTCGAGGAATCCTCCGGCAGAACTCTCCACCCCGGTATCAGAGCCCCGTTTCACCCTCGCCCCTGTACGATTCCGCGAACCCTCACGGAAGACCCGCGTTTCAATGCCGAGCTGCACGCGCGATGAAAGAAAGGGTTCAACGACAAAAAGAAAAGCCCCTGCGCGCCCCCCTCCCCCCGCACTCGGCAACCCCTTTGATTGGTAGCGACCGGCGTCGCGTCTGCAACCGACGATAAAAAAAGAAAGAAAAAACGCGCGGAATCACGGTGTTTGCTCGGCCGGGAGAATCACGAAAGAGTCCCGGGGGCTCCTCGGGTTTCTCTCGTTTTCATGCTGACGCGATTCCTCCAGCCGCGCTACAGTCGGGAGGGGTGGTTTCGATTGATCGAGTTGCCTTCTGGCCCTCCAGCGTCGCTGCTAACGAGCAAGATTACTCTTCAATACGTTCTTAGCGGAGCTTCCTGCGAGCTATTCAGCTGTGGTCCGTGTCCAACGGTACCAGTAAGCCAATGCAAACGTGCAACTCACAATGCGCACTTGTTCGTAGCCATTGACTTGTCTGGTTAGACCCGCTATAGACTTCTCGGTTCGCGTTCCATCGACTAAATTGTCTCGATTTTATCTAATTGCTGTGATTACGGTCGACGCGTTGGCACGCGAATCACGCTGCCGATACGCGAGCACCGAGCCGGAAGTGCCAAAGAGGTTCGCGGCATTAATTAAGTCACGTGTTTTACGCGAGGATACATCCGTGACAGGCCTGCTTCGAGCGAAAGGGGTTGGATCGAGTTAACGACGCCCTCTAATTATTTGCCAACTGTTTATCAATTTGCGTAACCGTTAATGGTTCTCGCATTGGTTGAAAAATTCATCGACCGACAGATTCGGAGAGAAAGAGATGGAAAGAGTGTGTAGAGCTTCGATCGTGGCACGCACCGTGACTCACACGACTACTTTATAATTTATAACAATTCGAAGGGCGGAGCTGGCGAGCCACCGATACCATCGAGCACTGTATTCCCTTTCTATAGTCGCACCACTCCGGCTCAACGAGGCAATTATAGAGAGCAGTCTGCCCGATTTCGCTAGCGATACGCTTTCTTCTTGCTTCTTTACCGATTCCCTCTTTGCATTGTTTAATCGCCACCCGGCGAAACCATGGAGGGTGTAACTGGCCGAGGAGGGAGCATCCGGAGGGCAATTATTATTACAATTGACTTCTCCGCGGATCTAATCCTAGCTCTAGGGACTCCGAATTTGTTCCTAATCGTCTTGAAAGTCCTATTCAAATATCCAGGGAACGGGTCCGACTCCGAAGAAGCGATAGACACACTGCTCTTCTCTGGGCTGCAAAAGAACCGCAGGTGACTTTTTCGCCGGGGACGCGCGAACAAATAACAAACGAGGAACATTCTTTTCGCGGTCGAGCGTCTCTCGCAGCGATCCAACAATGGATAACAATGGAGCGACGTTTTACGAGCAGTTTTTCACCGCGCGGACTGAGATAATTGGCCGTGTCCTACCGTAACGCACGCCACGCCGTACGTACACCGAGTCCAAGAGCGAGTTGTTATTGCGCTCTGCTTTTTCATGGCTAAATCGTTTTGTTCCCGTTGCGTGGCCGCTCCTACGACTCGCCGCGTCGTCGTTCCGTTCGTTCGTTCGTGAAAATCATCCTTAAGCTCGTTTCCCACAACAACGTGGAAAGATCGCGTGCTGCGGAAAATAAAAAGCAAATTGTACGAATTGCTATCAAACGACTAGCTACAATCGATCGCCTAATAAAGAATGTTCCCTAAATTGAACAGCACGGAAGATCAAACAAATTGTCTACCTTGGGAAAATAATCGCTGTTCGTGCGCCGGCTGCGGCGTAACCGTGCATACAATGATCGTAACGTTTCTATTCTGGGAATAGAACGATAACAGGACCGATAGCGTTATCGAGCTGAATCCGTGGTGATGAATTAAAACGCGAGACATCGACACCTGTTAGCGTAGCGAGAGCTCATCCATCGAGCTTAATTCACGTGAAATTTTATTGTTCCCTCGCAGCCGTTTATGTGCACCCTCCTACCGGTCTCCGTCCGCAGACCGGAAGTATCGATAATGCGCCGGGCGCCGCATGCGAAACTCGGAAGATGAATGTGAACGAGGCGCGTGGGTGTGTCCGAGCGATACTTTCTCCATTCATGGTTTAATCCAACCTGACTCTCTCGAGATGCTCATTATCGCCGGATCGTGGGTTCTAATTCTAGATCCTGCCTACGCAAATTTCCATCGGGACCTAAAATCAATCTGAAATTCAAGCTCTGCGCGCAAGGGAGATGGCGTTGCCGATATAATCTAAATTGTATATCTAATCTGGACCAAATTGGACGGCAACAAGGACCTACCAAATTGTCCGACGTCCTGACATAACCTAAGCTCGATTCACACGGGAAGATTCTCTAAGGGGAAATACCGATATTATATTATAATCCGTTTCATTGTGGAACGAGGATCTTCTGTAAATCAGATGAAAAGTTTGCACGTGAATCGTCACAGTCTGATTAACGGTGTGCTCCTACTATCCTGCGTTACCACTTTCCGGATCGATATTACTATAAATCCCGAAAGAAAGTATTGTACCAGTGGAATCTCTCTGTACCATCCAGTTCCTCGCTTTATTTCTCGCTGATATAGTCGTTAGAGTCCGGGACTTTTTATAGCTGCGTTCGTGTTCGCGAATTGTAACTGTGCCGCACTCGTGCCTCGATTAAATCATGCATGTAATCAACGTGATTTCTATTCTTTTTTTTTTCTCTTCTTTCCGTGCTTTTTTTCTATTTCCGTCACGGACGCTTGACGGCCGTAATCGCAGGGAGACCGTGGTTTCTCTACGCGACTGCGAATCTCCGGTCTTTTTTACACCGTTGATTATTCTATTTGTTAATTCCTCCACGGGAACGGATCCCGTCATTTCGAAAATAATGCGTACACCTGTCCGCGGTAAACATCCCGTGCGACAATTGTCAGTGTCCTGCGAAAAAACGAATTTTAAAAGATATACACATCCCTGCGAACTAGAAGCAAAAAGACGTTACCCACAGTTTTCGAAAATTTATCGTTCACAGGTAAAGCCTTCTCGATCAATTTGTTGATAACAGAGGCAATTTCGATCGCGAACCGATCAGGCACGCCCAGCAACGTAATCTTTTAATCTTTTTTTAGGGATCGTTGTCTGAAAGGAGATATTTAACCGCCTTTTCCGGTTCCGAAATCCGCTGTTTCTATTCTCTATTGTCGCCATTTTTCTATTCGCTCCGTCCTGTCTGCGCACAATCTGCACAACCACATGCTTGTACGCTAAATGAAATTTCTGTACAATCACCTGAATACGAATGTAGGGGGTTAATGTTAGAGACACCGTTGATCGAAATGTTCCTTACAATTTAGTCGTGTCCGATTTGCAAGGGTAGTTTAATTACGTAGACCAGATTAACTCGGATATATCGGTACTTATCTTCGGAGCAAATGAAGTTAGGCTCTAAAGGGGTTAGGCAATCCCAGCGGTACTCGTGTCATAGTTCACGAAGTACGCAGGTTCCTAGTAGGTGAAAGGCGCGTTACGAATACACGACGCGTTACTGCACCGACGAGCATGCTCCCCCAAGTTCATTGTAACTTCGGTGATGTCGTGGCATCGGCACCTATCAACGCCACACCTCCCTGAACACACGGCCATGAGTACACTTCCTTGTCCCGGTTAACCCTACACCCGTTTGTAATAATAATCTTGAATACACGATATTATCTATTCGCCGGTCGATCAACACCTGCCCTGATCTGCAAGCTTCTCGCACGGAACGTTCCTGCGATCGCGTTCCTGATTTTCAATTTCATCCAGCCCCGTTTGATCACAGAATTACGAGTAAAATATTCTAAATAACAGCAACGATTGATCGGAATGCTTTTTACCTTCGATGGAAGTTCAACTGCGGCGGAACTTTCCACAATGCATAAACAAAAATGTTCTCGAAGAAGGGTTAGCGTCTAGAACATTTCGGGCGATGCACTAAATAATCGAAACACCAGAGAGAGAGAGAGAGAGAGAGAGAGAGAGAGAGAGAGAGAGAGAGAGAGAGAGAGAGAGCTTCCCGAGAAAAGTGCTAAAAGCGCCGGTAGATATGCAAAGAAAAACTGTTTTATCGATTGTCAGTGGGCAGAAGCGTGCGACCCTGTTGATGCGTCTTTCGAAAATGCTGGCATCTCCTTGGCGAAGCACATAATTGACCTAATTGATCGTAATAAGCGTTCGCGAGAAGTATGACAAAATCCGGATTATGTTCAATTCTCGCAAGGTGATTTCTTTTAGCAGAAATATAATGCAGAGACGGATGTAACCTAGGCCAAACTATCGGCCTGCGGCGGGTCCATTTCAACCCGCCGAATATACATATCAATCTCGCTCTCTCTCTCCACAAACGGCACACGACACGTACGAATCAGGTGCGGTCCTGAACTTTATTAGACGCACGATTAATTTAAGAGACAGTTGAAAAGGTTAGATACGATAAATCATTCCGTAGATTCTCGGCTGATTCGAATGTATAAGGAGAGAGCGTGTGGCACACTTCGCAGGAACACCTCAGGGTCGTACACACAGGAATGACAGAAATAAATTTACGAACAGTGAGAACGCATAGCGTCAAATTTGTCGGTTGTTTCCTCTGCGTCGCCGGTATTTCGATTTATTTCCGTTTTCATTTTTAACGGATTCTGCGCGTCTCCTTATGCCTTTGGCTGGCTCAAGGAGAATGTGAGAGATACACTTCTTTGCTCTCTCGCTCTTCTTCTTTCTCTCTTTCCAACGAAATATGATACATTGTACGCGGACATATAGATATACAGAAGTTCGATCACGACTACGCCAATTCTACTCTAGTGTACAAATGTTCGGATTGTATCAAAGAAAAATGATCGAATTCCTATGAAAATTGTTGGAACACGTTGAATGCTGCAATACACATGCAATTGTAAGAATAAGTACGATGTACGATGCATTAAACAAGTTCTGTCAAACCGGGCCAAACAGATGTTTCCGTGAATACTTGATCAACAATATACGTAACAAGTTGCAAACTCGTAACACAATAGCTTTATGTTACACAGCCTCCAGTAATCGAATACGTGCAACCGTGAATACAACATCGGCATATTTACTTCGGTTGATTTTACTGAGCAGGTTATGTGAATACCAGAGTGGTGTCTCATGCGATTCATATTTTCCAAATGTTCTGTAACAATTGGTCTCGTCGACGTCAACAACTGAAATCGCATTACTGTCGCAAAACTTTCCCGTTTACAGATATACGCATCGATGTATGTATATAGTTACGTCGTGTTTCGATCCTATCGTTGAAAAATTCGAAAGCACACGAACACTTTGTACCGTTCGTCGTTTGTTCGAATAAAAGAATCCGACGAAAATTTGGTTAACAATTTGCTGGAGCGTGTCACGCACAGACGTTCTAGGTGAAATCAGAAAAGTAATAAACTCACCTATGGATGTAGACGCGATCTTCCTCGGAATAACGCACTATGGCACGCGAAAAAAATCGCGCGGATCGAACAGAAATTACGACGAAATAGTACACACAGGGCTGTAAAACACCGACTGACTTTTTCTCTCGAGCGACTAACGGAGAACTTCCTTCAGCGAGCACGTAAACAACTCTCGTTCCAATTCCGCCGACGGGTACGAACACGAAACAGGTCCGACGAATCGCGGGGCGACGCTGGATGCGGCCACGGCCCATACTCGCACCATTTTCAAATAGTCCCCTCGCACAGACATNACCAGAGAGAGAGAGAGAGAGAGAGAGAGAGAGAGAGAGAGAGAGAGAGAGAGAGAGAGAGAGAGAGAGCTTCCCGAGAAAAGTGCTAAAAGCGCCGGTAGATATGCAAAGAAAAACTGTTTTATCGATTGTCAGTGGGCAGAAGCGTGCGACCCTGTTGATGCGTCTTTCGAAAATGCTGGCATCTCCTTGGCGAAGCACATAATTGACCTAATTGATCGTAATAAGCGTTCGCGAGAAGTATGACAAAATCCGGATTATGTTCAATTCTCGCAAGGTGATTTCTTTTAGCAGAAATATAATGCAGAGACGGATGTAACCTAGGCCAAACTATCGGCCTGCGGCGGGTCCATTTCAACCCGCCGAATATACATATCAATCTCGCTCTCTCTCTCCACAAACGGCACACGACACGTACGAATCAGGTGCGGTCCTGAACTTTATTAGACGCACGATTAATTTAAGAGACAGTTGAAAAGGTTAGATACGATAAATCATTCCGTAGATTCTCGGCTGATTCGAATGTATAAGGAGAGAGCGTGTGGCACACTTCGCAGGAACACCTCAGGGTCGTACACACAGGAATGACAGAAATAAATTTACGAACAGTGAGAACGCATAGCGTCAAATTTGTCGGTTGTTTCCTCTGCGTCGCCGGTATTTCGATTTATTTCCGTTTTCATTTTTAACGGATTCTGCGCGTCTCCTTATGCCTTTGGCTGGCTCAAGGAGAATGTGAGAGATACACTTCTTTGCTCTCTCGCTCTTCTTCTTTCTCTCTTTCCAACGAAATATGATACATTGTACGCGGACATATAGATATACAGAAGTTCGATCACGACTACGCCAATTCTACTCTAGTGTACAAATGTTCGGATTGTATCAAAGAAAAATGATCGAATTCCTATGAAAATTGTTGGAACACGTTGAATGCTGCAATACACATGCAATTGTAAGAATAAGTACGATGTACGATGCATTAAACAAGTTCTGTCAAACCGGGCCAAACAGATGTTTCCGTGAATACTTGATCAACAATATACGTAACAAGTTGCAAACTCGTAACACAATAGCTTTATGTTACACAGCCTCCAGTAATCGAATACGTGCAACCGTGAATACAACATCGGCATATTTACTTCGGTTGATTTTACTGAGCAGGTTATGTGAATACCAGAGTGGTGTCTCATGCGATTCATATTTTCCAAATGTTCTGTAACAATTGGTCTCGTCGACGTCAACAACTGAAATCGCATTACTGTCGCAAAACTTTCCCGTTTACAGATATACGCATCGATGTATGTATATAGTTACGTCGTGTTTCGATCCTATCGTTGAAAAATTCGAAAGCACACGAACACTTTGTACCGTTCGTCGTTTGTTCGAATAAAAGAATCCGACGAAAATTTGGTTAACAATTTGCTGGAGCGTGTCACGCACAGACGTTCTAGGTGAAATCAGAAAAGTAATAAACTCACCTATGGATGTAGACGCGATCTTCCTCGGAATAACGCACTATGGCACGCGAAAAAAATCGCGCGGATCGAACAGAAATTACGACGAAATAGTACACACAGGGCTGTAAAACACCGACTGACTTTTTCTCTCGAGCGACTAACGGAGAACTTCCTTCAGCGAGCACGTAAACAACTCTCGTTCCAATTCCGCCGACGGGTACGAACACGAAACAGGTCCGACGAATCGCGGGGCGACGCTGGATGCGGCCACGGCCCATACTCGCACCATTTTCAAATAGTCCCCTCGCACAGACATAAGAAGTTTTATTACCTACCTTGTTTTTGTTGAATCCCTCGCGCGACGACCAGTCACAGCTCATGGAAAAGTCAACCGTCTCCGAGAATCCTCGTAGTAATGACGTACCATTTAAATACGAGCCGCTGTCACACCGTAAACGGGACTGCTTTCAATGTTCTTACGCGCGAGTCAATATGGCCGACCGTCTAGGAAAATCAGTTTCTCTTATGACGCAATCAAGCGAGTACGCCCTGTTCGAACGCATTTTCCCCGCCAGATGGCTGAAACTGCGTTCGCGCCGGCCGATAAAACAGATGCTCGTTGTGTAGGTCAAAAGGATTTCGTTTGAACCGCGACACAATCGGCTGGAAATCTACTTTATCATGTTCAAAATTATTTTAGCGTTATTACAAGGTTTAAAGCCACAGAACAATCCTTGACAAAAAGTATTTGAACACCTATTAAAACGCGATAACTTTTTAAAAACTGGTGATTTGAAATAAAGTAAATATCTATATAGTTTCTATACCATTTCTGAGACTATGACCATAAACCATGCACGAGAATAGATTGATATTCAATATATGTATTCTCCTGGCTCGATATGATATATATTTTATCGCTAAATTTGTTACCGACAGTGTGTTGACTGGACTACTTAAAGAAAAAGCCGCGAATTTTCGACTGAATTTCTACTTATTGTAGATACTAGATTTAAACTGATTTTTCAAATGAACAAATTTTATTCTATATTTCCATCTTATTATTTTTATGTAGAATCATCCCTTTCATCAGTAAAATAGATCCTTCATTAGTAGATTCATCCTAATCCATTGAAAATGCTACAAGTTTACAGCGCATCTGATTTTGCGCTGCATTGTGCGCATCATTTTATGACATGCGTAAAGCAGTTGCGTAGAAATGATGTATGAAAATTGGCGCGAAACAATTACGTAGACATTTTTGCAGTTCATTCTATTTGTATAGTTATCAATTTAACGATTAATTATACATGTCAGTAGAATCGGGCTGCCAAAATTGTCGGTCCTCCGGGTCCTATATATAGTGGGCCTGGTCTATCTCCACACCTCGTCAGACTTTGAATTTGCGGATTGATGAAGAGATCAACTTTGAGTTATGAAATCAAATAAGGTGGTAGATCTAGAGTTGTGCACCTAGTTTCTGTTTTAACAGATCATAATAATAACAGCATGGCAGATTACATGTAACAAGCAGTGCAATTTAATTGATAAATTACGAAATTGCAATTTGTTAAATCTATACGTGTCAATCTATCGCTGTGCGTTCAATTTTCTCGATTGTTGCGAAAATAAAGCATACTCTAGCGCGGCCGCGAAATAGTTTCGCGCTTGCAACAGTCGACGTAACAGTTACGTTGACACTAACGTTGCGAATAATTAGGAAATTCTGTTTCCATTGAACTTTGCTAGTAGGATACGTTTACAGTGCAATTGCATTGACAGTTTTTAACATACTATAATCACAAACAATTTGATGTTAAATATTGCTCGAGTACTAATTACATTTTAATATAGTACAATCAATCATTCCTTTCGTTAAAAAGGCGTCAACGTTCAATTGTATTGTGAACACTCGCAACGACAGGTTGTCCAGCGTTTTAAGAAGTAGTAACACACGGCCTCAAAATTCAGCCCCACTACACGACATACTTTATTTTCGTATTAATTAGTTTATTATTTTCGGCGAATGCGTATGAAATGGCTTGGTCTGGCAGATTTCGTGCAAGAAATAACAAAGAACTTGTGCAACATCTTAAACGTAAGTATTGTGTAAGAATGATTGCAAATAAGCATAAGCAACAATATCGATATTCATTTTTATTTTTCTGTTAGAATCAAGGATAATTAAATCTGATAGAGTTTATGAAGCAATGTCTGCTGTAGACAGAGGAAATTATACCCATCCCTATTACGCATATGTTGACTCTCCACAAGGGATTGGTTATGGTGCAACCATAAGTGCTCCTCATATGGTACAGTTCTATAAAATTTCAGAAAGTTTCTCTATATTTGAATATTATATTTCTTTTATGTTCACCTGTTGCATAAATATAACCAAGTAAATTAAAACATCTTAGCATGCATATGCTTTGGAGATACTTGAAGACAAATTACACAATGGCGCCAAAGCATTGGATGTTGGATCTGGTTCTGGATATTTGAGTGCATGCATGGCAATGATGTTAGAGCCAAATGGAACAGTTGTGGGTATTGATCATATTCCTGAACTTAAAGCATTTGCTGAAGAAAATATTATGAGGGATAAACCAGAACTTCTCAAAAGCGGTCGTCTTGAATTAGTTGGTAAATAGAATTTAAACGCTATTTGACATAAATACGTTGTAACCATACATTTTTTATTATATTAAACACTATGCAATGTTCTAGTTGGAGATGGAAGATTAGGATACCCTGAGAAAGCACCATACGATGCTATTCATGTAGGAGCAGCAGCCAAGGAAATGCCACAGGCTGTAAGGAAATTTTTCAGCTGCCAGATTCTACCTATATTTGTTAAATTCATGGTATATTGTTTTTACAGCTCATAGATCAGCTAGCTCCTGGAGGACGTCTGGTATTACCAATGGGCCCAGAGAATTCTGATCAAACATTAGTACAAATTGATAAGACAATGGATGGAAAGATTAAGAAGAAGTCACTTACTAGTGTCGTTTTTGTTCCACTCACTAGTAAAAATAAGCAATACCCTTCATGAAATTCATGCTTGCTCCAATAAGTGAGCATGCCCGCTGATGTATCATTGAAATTAGAAAATTCATTTGTTTTGCATTAAAATTGAATAATCGTACAAATTAATATATTTTGTGTTAGAAAAACAATGTGTATCTCTAGTCAGAAAATATTATATTGTACTACAATGTAAGAAATTTCTTAAATTATTTTTCACGAACGTTAAAATATACGTTATAATTTATTGTACTCCGAACCCTTAAGAATAAATGCATTCTTAAAATGTATCCCATATTTTTTATCAGTTAATTCTTTATGCACGTTTACGTAGTATTTCAGATCTGCGACAAAATTTAAGGTACGATCTTTATTTTATGCTAAAAACATTTTATACGTTAATGGAATGTTTAAATATAAAGTAAACATAATTCATATGAAGAATATGTAGAAAATAATTTAATGTGATGTCACATTTATAAAGTTTGTCACGAAGTATTAAGTAACGTCATTACTTGTCAGATTAATATTATTTGGACTCCAGGTCCTATGGTCCTATTTGTCTGCATCTGTATAATCGGCAGTGAGATCGACGCTTTAGTAGTATTTATTCGTTTAATACTGCAGATTAAAGTGTTTTCACCATGACTAAACTGAGTGTAGCACCTGATGTTAATCCTAATCCAAGGAAAGCTCCCATCATAGCAGATGCAATCTCTTTTTCTTGAGATTCTACAACCCTGTTAAAGAATCGTGTTCAAAATATAAGCAAGCATAAAGTACCTTTGGTACTACAGTAGAGACTACAATACTTACGCAGGAGTTAAAATAAATGTTAGATTGCACAGATAGCCATTACTAATGGCGAATGCTACAGTTAATAAAATATAAGAGAAGTCGTTCTTAATGTAAACAGGAAGATGATGTCTTGGTTGCGCATTACAGAACATAAGGGGAGGTACCAAGAGTGCCCTTATGAAACTTAACAACATGACAACCCACGGTTTATTCTTTGGCTAGAAAAACAATGCAATTTTAATGATAAAAGATATGAAAGTACAATATGTATATTATATAATAATATGCACATTATACGAACCCATTGAAGAATGCCAGACAATACTCTGCCAGCATAGTCGCCCATACTAAAAATCAGGTAAGTCACCACAGGAACAAAATAAATATCTGTAAAGTGTATTGAAAAGTATTAGTCATTGAAATTTATATTTGTATCAAATTAAACTCACCATTCCACGCATGACCCTTTCCTTTGTACTGACTTTCCACTAACACAGTAACAGCTGGATATACAGACAGAGATATAAAGAATACCAAAAATAAACTAACACCATATGGCCAAATTCTTTTTAAAATACGGATATAAGAAATTGTAGTGCCTTGAGGAAAAGCCACTTCTCCAGTGACAGTATAATTTCTTTCTATTGCCCCAGCAGATTTTTCCAACATATGATGTTTGAAAAATGCCTACACAAAGACAATTTATCGAGTGTTTATAGTGTTGAACCATTACCATAAGCTGCTTATCATACGTTATAAAAGCTGCTGCACAAGTGATTCATAAAATTAATTTACTCACAGCTTTTTCTAAAATAATGTATGCCACCAAAGATAGAAACAAAATTATGTCTCCAATGATGAAATAAACTAATCCTGAGAGTATAGGACTAGCACCAATCCACAATGAGCATATCTCTGCTATGGCTGTAAAAATTCCTCCTAGAGCTTGGCCACTTTGCATAGCAGTTATATACTTTGGGGAAAAACGACCAACAATTCCCATTAAGCTACCTCCAAATATTGCACTTGCAGCTACAAAGCAAAAGTTTATTGTCAAGTAGCTATTGGAGTACTTTCCAGTACGTTAAATGTTAAATATATACCATTCACAAATGCCACTGTGGTCAAGGTAATTGTTAAAAATGTATTTTGCCCTAAAATGAAAATACATTTCTTACTTTAGAAAAACAATAGAAAGTTTTTTAGATGCCATATAAAATTCTTGTGTTATTTATAACATACACATATCTGTGTTTATCTTCACAAATGCTGTTGTCATAATGAAGAGTAAGAGTATTGTGCACTGGGACCCAACCATTCGTATTGTCAGTGGAATTCTAGAATTATAAATATCTTGTTATATAACTTGAAAGTGCGAAAGTTATACAATTATGTCGATAACCAAATAATTTTACTCGCCTTTTACTAATAAATGCATTTATAATTAAGAATAGTGTGTTTGGAAACGCACTTGCCACACTTAAGTATGATGTAAAGCTGGCTTGTAAGTCAGTTCTTTTTTCCAAATTTTCTACATGAGTGTAGTTCATGTGATTCGTTGAATTTTCTGATATTTCTCTAAATTTGTACATCCAATACTACAAAATAAGAATACGGACGATATTATTCATTGAATTAAGTAATAAGATATATGTTACTCACATCGTCAGCAGTAATAAAAAAACTCCATGGTATCAATGTGTTTATGCCAAGTAAATAAAAGACTATATATGCAAGATTATACCTAAAACAAACAGTGAATGAAACAACACAAGTTATCGTTTTATTTGAAATAAAAAAGCTCTTACCTATCGCGAGGTTCGTGTTGTTTTAAAAATGGTTTCTCATCTGGGACAGAAACAGTTGGGTCGTCAACTTCCGTTTCTAAATCATCTTCGAATTCACTGTCAGACGCTCCTCCTAACAACGGTCGTCTATTGATAGAATACGACATGATGATACTGAAAACAGAGAAACATCTTCATCTTTAGAAAAATCATTCGATGTTTTTTACGTAAACAAACTCGGCAATCTTTCGATCGATCAAAACTGATTACGTGTATTATAATGACTCACTAAATTATACAAAGAAATCCACGAAGTCGTCGATTAATGATATCCCTCGTGCTTGGAAGATAATAAATCTTCACATTTTGACAGCAACTAGTATGAATAATACTAGTTTTGAATTTAATCACGTGCCACTTGTATACCGAATCCCGTGTAGACCATGTTCAACAAACGACAACTGCAAGAGGATTGATAATGTTCCTCTAATCTTCTATTGTCTCCGAGTCCCGAGCGACTCCACATTATATATTAGTCATATTGTTGGCCATGCGAGCCGTATTACATTAATCCTAATGGACTCCTTTCTCCATTCCAATTTTACGCATACAGATGCAGACACAGCTGGCGTGATACACAATCGAATGCGAGGTGCTAGTGAATGACGTATTGCAAGTGTTGCAATGCAATCCATTGTGGGAGGACACGAGTCTATCATAAAAATATGCATACAAGTCAAAACTGCAATTCCTAATTAATCCTGATACATACATAGATATGTTACGAATGTTTTTTTCCAAATATAGATTTTTCTGGACTTACTCACGATAATTAATATCGACGAAGATTTTTTTTGGCGTTATCAAATTGTAAACAAAATAAAACCTCATTCAAACGGAATGCACAAATTTGTTATTCTGTACAGTTTCGAGCAATCAAATCCACAACCTATAAACAACAGTATGAAATTAACTGATTAATGAAGCGTAATTTTTCTTGTGCAATTTATTTTTAACAATGTACAGAGTGTCCCAGTATTCTGCGCTACAATCTGTAAATTATTTTCACGAAATTATGTATGTACATGTATTTAAAACGTCTGTTCGTGACTATATCTACTTGTTTGTGATTTTAAAAAATGGAAACTTATGCAGTCAAATGTGACTTAACATTTTTAGTTTTTCGCATAGAATATCCTTCCAGTTACATATAACCGTAAATATTGGAACACCCCGTACCTATACATGTTACGTGCACGCGCACTATTTCTACATATACGAATCCTACCATCGATTAGACAAAAAGAAAGAGGTTCAAGTCCAATGTTGCGATCATGGAACGAGAACAATGAACAATCGTAGCAAGCAGGTTCTTCGTTGAATACTTCACGGAGATTATTGTATGTCTAAAGCATCGTGCTCTTCGGCCGATCGGTTACGTGCAGTTACGGTGAGTTACGGGTTACGGACTTGTTATTCGCATGATACAGTAGGACGTAGCATGTTTTGGTAAGCTTTTGGATGAGTGATAAGTGCGATGTTTATCGCGTTTTAGCTGGTAAACTTGCACGCGATACAGACGTGTGATGACATTTCGGTGAGCCGCAAGAATGTTTTGTGTGCTAGGAAGATGGTAAGTTGGTTAAAAAATAGTTGAATGAATTATGACAATATAATTAAAATGGGTTTATTTGACAGTTTATGCAAAAGGGACGCTGTGAGAGCATTGAGTACAGGCGAAGTGTCGACGGCACTTCGACCCTTTTATTTCACAGTTCATCCAGACCTTTTCGGTCAATATCCAACACAGAGAGTAAGTATGTTTCTCTAATGAATAATACTTGTATATTTATATATCGTGCACAATTACCAAACGTCATCGGCAACGCAATTTAGCTCGATCATACTCGCGAGTATTTTTAGAACTAAGAAAGTGAAATAGTTATTACATCTGTTACATGTAGCTCTACTATAACTACATACTTTAATTACATTTCTCTGTCTATTGGAGCAGAGTAAATGATAAATTTCATCTTCAATGTACTTTCGATTTTCCAGACAGTGAATGAAAATTCCTTAAAGCAGCTAAGCTCGATCATAGAAAGTTTGCAACAACACAAACCCATCAGGCCTATCACATTGCCATTTTATTTACGCTCCAAAGATGAGAAAGAAGTCAAGGCTGGTAAATTTACTCTAGTGCAGATACAATTAAAAGAAAGAGATCTGAGACAAACTATCCTTTCAATTTTGAAAACATGCGATCTACCGACCACGTTTGTAGACAAAATAGAAGAGCAAAAGCCAACGAAAACAAATGCAAACTATAAATCAAAGTTTTGGCAAAGAAAAGGATATGCAGGAGAAAACATAGATTTTTCGGAATTAGAAGATGATCCTATCTATGCATCTATTTTGATGAAAAGAAAAATTAATACAGAACCAGATACTCTTAAGTAAGATAGGCATTAAGCGTGTTTTTTCGTGTGCATAGCCACAACTTTGTTACAGGAATTTTAATTTAACTGTTATTGATTAGGGCTTATTTAGATAAACATATTAACGAAGTACATGTAAAGTTGGAAGCATGTAGGCCAATGAGAGAGGAAGTACAAAAGCTAGAAAAAATATTGTGCTCAAAATTAGGTTTAAAGAATATTATATGGGATTGTGGATGGAATATAGCTCACTATAGAGGCTGTTTGTTGGCCTTCAAGGCATTAGTTGAACATCATCCTGAACCAATGGAAGTATTAAAAGATAGGACGCTAGTGTTTGCCAATGATACAGGCATTAGTCTAGAGGGAAGTGTTATGTTAAATTCTGGAGAAGTCAGACACAATTGGCTTGATGTAAGAACACGTTGCTGCGCTAACAAATGCGTTACCGATAGTGTTCTGCTTATTAAACGAGTCTTTTTTTATAGCTAATCAAAAATGTTCAAAAACATGATGTTGTACTGTTGAGATTACCAGCTTTTGAGAAGGCAGTTTCACAAGTACTTCTTGACATAAAAGTTGGTCGACGGTGCGTAATACAAAATATTTATTGAGTGACGGTAAGGCTCAGGGTGCTCTATATGTGCAGGAAATTCATGCCTAAGGTAATGGTTAGCCAGTATGAACAACAACTTCGGCAGCTAACTACAACCCTCTCAGACTATCGCGGAAGAAGAAACTATCCGAAAGTGTGGCCAACCAGCTTATCAGCTTATGAAATTGTCATTGAAGCGTTAGTATTAACATTTCGTATGTAATATCTTAACTTTTGGTTCGTATGTAAGTATCAGGTAAATTTAATCACATTGCTTGTGAGTACACTGTAATACTAATTCAACATAAATCGAAGTTCTGAAACAAGCTTTGTTTACAGAGAAGCTGGTCCTTTAATGCTGTCTCCTACTGGACAATTTATAGTACCATCCTCGTGTCCGAGTTTTCTATTAGTCAATTTTATTACAGAAAACTTAGAAGAAGCCACTAAAAGATTACATCACTATAACAAGTAAGATAATCTTATCAAGTTATAGATATAAAGTATAATTTTTCTTGTTTTATATATATATATATGTTTATTTTTCAGTATAAAACACGTAGAACGTGAGCTTCACAATACAGCTATAAAAGAATTAGGTTTAATCGATCTTAATAAGGATGATAGTATTACTCCAGATCTGATGATACAATGCTGTGAACGTTTATTATTGCACAAAGGTGTACTAGCTCCTCTATTAGAAGGTGTGATGCTCTGGGTAACACACTATTACTCTGTTATGAGCGATGGTGTTTTATGTATACCCTGGGATTGGAAACTCTGAATCCAAATTGAAAATGTTCTCAAGTGCTTTCTTGTTATATATACTTTGAACTTAATACCAACTACTAGGATAACTACATCGAACAATTGTACAAATTAAAGTTAACATGTAATGTACAGATAATGAAGTAACGATAGAATAATACATGCTATTTTTCTGACAAGTTTAAATAAACAGAGAATTCAAGAAAAAATTAGTTAATAGTGCAAAGCAAATAATTAGGTTTTAATAGGTACGATTCTCATTCTACTTTATACGAAATATGCGCATGTAAGAATAT